CAATGGCTAATGTCGCCATTGGACTAATTTCTAAAGAAATTTAATTTTAATCCTCGTTTGTCGTTTTTTTATTAGGCTTTTTCCTCGTTCTGCTTCTCTCCCCGTGAGAAAACGAAAGCTATTTTTGGTTTCTCTCTGCTCTTCGGAGCTAGAGAGAACCACGAAAAAACAAAAACTGTTTTCTCCTGCTGCTATTGGTCGTCGTGTCCGCCTCTGTGTGGCACCGCCACGTCGTTCTCGTGCTCGTCGTCTTCGTCCTGCGGGTGTCCGTCTTCGTCCTCCCTTGGCTCCTGCGTGTGGCCCTCTTTCTCCCTTGTCCTTTCCTGTTGTGGCTTCCCCTCGGATGAAGGAGTCAGAAAAGCGAAAACGCTTTTCTGTCTCCATCTCAACATCCGAGGTGGAACGCCCAACTAAAAAAATAAAATTTTAATTTAGTTGTTTATTTAAATTTGCCCAACCAATGTTTGAGTTTTATGATAAGAACTGTATTCCAGTTAAACCGTTAATAAGAATTATCACGGAGTTTAATAGTATTTTCAGTATATTATCGGGGTCCCTTTTATCGCGTTATATACAAGAATATCTTTAAGCCGCTTGTAAATTTTTTTTTAATTGTATTGGGTTTTCTTCTTTTGTTTTGAATTGACTGGATTAGTGGCACCTGATTTTTCCAATAGATTACAGGGAAAATATATCAGTTGCTTTTTGCTCTTCCTAACCATCTTTGCGAACGAAGTTCTTCTAGTCCCTTCGAAATGCGTTTAAAACAAAAATCAATGATATTGCAATGATCATCTCACCTTTTATGCCCCTATTATTTTTTATTCGGAATTCAATTTTATACTCAAACTTTAACCTATATCTGTCAGCTTTTTATTTCCTTTGGCATAATTCGCATAAGTTATAAACAACCTTTGCCATTGCCTATTCTTTTATTTCATTTCTTGTTTTCTTTCTGTATAGATATAGATTATAAACTTCCATTCTTTTCGAGATATATTTCATAGATATTTTTTGTTCTATTACCATCCTTTTTCCGAAGAAAAAACTGCTTTTAATAAGCTATTCATTCTGGGTTCAGTCTCGCTCGTGTTGTTACTACTTCTTTCTGAGGGATGACGGCATTGGCTAATCTTCCCGAAAAATCTTCAACAACAAAGAATATTGTTCCTAGACAGCTGTTAGGTTGTTTTTTTTAATTGCTGACATAATATCGTTCTTTCTATTTACCATCAGTTTCTGTTAGTTTGATTTTGTTTACTAATCCCTGTCGGGACTGTGTAAACATATTGAAAAAAATAGTAGAGTTGCTTAAATTTCATCTACAAGAATATTGTCTTTTCCCAATTAAACTCTTCAACCGATTACTGTATCCTGGAATAGTGTACTACATTAGTAATTGTGGTTACTAGGTGTCTCCTTTCTCAGTATATGTAATTGTAACAAGTTGGTGGAAGAGGACAGTTTTTGTAGGCTCTAAGTTCATCTACAGTGACGATGACGAACATCAAAGTCTTGTGGTTTTATCCATATTTACCGTAGTCGAATTACGTTACACCATGATAATCCATAATAATTGACATTATCTTTGTTCAAAGTCCTGAAAAGTCTCAAAAGTTCCCACCTAATTGGAACTCAGAGCGGTAATCGACTGAATTATTTGAAAAAATTACCGTAAATAACTGCACTTATTTACGGATCAAGTCCCCAGAATGTGACCTGATAACTTGATCTAATTATTTGCATATCATGCTCTCCTAAAGTGATAAGTTGTTACTCTCTTTGAAATAAACACTTGATGGGAATAGTAATGTTGACATGCCTTATGCATTTGACAATGAGGAGAACAGAAAAATAAAGAAATAGGTTTTTTATTATATGTGACAAAAAAAAACAAACAAAAAGCCACTCTAACATTTGGATTGGGTGAGCAATGCCGTTTGTTTCAGAATATCTTGTTAGTATATTTTGACAGCGAGTGTAGTGAATGTCCCTTTTGTGATCTCCTTTTTTTTGCAATGTCTACAGCTGTTCTGGTAGTGATATTGTTTTGTCTTGCTCGTCGTTCCATTTCGTTTATTTTTAATCGGAGTCTGTTAAAAAACGTTTTTTCTTTTTCTTCCTTTCTCCATCTGTTACCCAATCTTCTCTCCATATCCTTAATTGCATGAACGCCCTGTAGACCTTCTGTCCGTTCAAGCTACGAGTTAGCGAGGGAAACAATTCCTCGACTCATACGATAACAGGGTACAACATTACTGTTATTATTGCCATAAAAAGTCTGTGATTGATCCATCGTATTACTGCCGGAAAATGAGTTGGGTTGGCTTTGTTGAGGTATGGCTGTTGTAGTGATATTTGTTCTACCCTGATTTTCCCCTGATCCTCCAGGTAGATTAATGTTCAGGCTTATACTCGCTTGGCTTGTGACAAATCTGGTAATATAATCATTAATCTTTTTTTGAGATGCCGATTGTGTATCTAATCGTGTCGAAAGATCATGGTGCATGTACTTAATTTTGTCTTCTAAAATTGGCATGCACCGTTGCAACAAAGATTTGACAGGATCATTGTCTTCTTGGGCGACGATGAGCATGAGCCTGTAGAAAAACGTTTTTTGTGAGTACATTATATCATATTGATTATTGCATAAATCTAAAGTTACTCCTTCTGGGCTGCAAACAATTCATGCGAAAAAAGACTATTTTGCCAAAGTGGGTGAGTAGGAAATTTCTCCATCATAAAAACAGCATATTGAAATAGTCTTTTTCTTAACATAAACATAAGTCCAAAGAAAGCTTTTGCTGCAACTGTTACTTCCATTTCGTCGCCGTTGTTTGGGTTTGCTTGCTTTGCTGTGAATCTATCGTGCCATACGTCCAGATCAGGAAAGATCATTTTGCAAAAAGAGTCAGTTGAATCAACACTAGTTCTTGGTAAATAAATTGACCTGATTTTGAAATGGTTAATTTAATACAAAAAGAATGATTTGTTTTTAACGAACCCTGCTGAACAGTGAATCCGGCTATTAACCTCATTACTTCTCTTGAAAATCCAGTCCAATAAGCACCGTTCATGGTTGTATTGTTCCATTTATCTATGCGCCTGATTTGGTCTTCATTTACTCGAGCTAAGTTGGCATTTCGGGCTACAGATCCACGATTAGTACGTGTTTTGTGATCGAGCTTATATACAGATATAACTGTGTCATCAATTCTCTCTTTCTTATTTGATAACCTTTCTATAAATCATTATTGCATTACTCTTTAAATCAAATACATGCTATTACACTCTATTTACTACGCATTGATTACTCATCAATACATAGAAAACAATAGTCATACATTTATTCCAGATAATATAATCCAATGATATGATCGCTCGTCAATAACAAGATTCTCGAAGGTACCATGAGATGCTCGATCTTTAATTGACAATACGCCTATTGTATGTTTTACAGGTTTCACTTTAATGATTGATATTCAGCCAGCCCTGAATATGTATATAAAGAAACCAATTTATTGTATAATAAAGACTTTAGTTTATTTTTGCCGTTTGATAATTTTACTTCGTCAACTTTCTTTATTTTATTCTTATTTCGTTGTTTTATCTCTGGAATTTCTCAAGGGAACAGAAAACTCGTTCAATGCCGGACGGAAAAATTAGACATGTTTAAGAAACACTTAAAATCCTTTTTTGAAGCCTTATTTTAAAAGCAAAATGGTAGGAATAACACCTAAATACAACTATACCAAACTTAACAATACCTGCAATACATACATATACTTTATAAAAAGTCTCTTATTTTATTTATGTCAATCAGCAGAATATGAGAAAGAGCTCTTTTCCATCCATGACATTTTTCTGCCATGCTTCCAGCGTGCTTGTGACACACTAAATTCTCCAAAAAGATCTATTTGTGATGACATGCATTGTCTAATTCATTATGATTCTGAAACTTCGCTCGTTTTTTCGCAATTCGTTTTCCTATGAAAAGCGGAATGCAATCTATTAAAAAATGTTCAATACACCTTCGTTGAAGATTCTAATAATTAAAAGGTATACAGTATCTACAATTCATTAAGAAAATTTTTAACTTTCTAAACACTATATGTGTCAGGTTCATAACACCAATCAGACGCTAGTTACATCCGTTTAGTATCAGTACAACGTCTTAAGAAATCTTGCGTTTGCAATTCGACGGCTAGTTCAAGTTCAATGTTCCGACTGAAGACAAACGTAGGGACAATAAATAACTACCATTTGTTTGTCTATTGTGACTAGCAGAAGAACTAAGGAAAGACACACCCGATAAAAACAAGTCTAACGGGATTAAAAAACCACAAGAGTTAGCCATAGTTGAACTGGTTCTAATTATCCAAAAAGAGTACTCCTGAAGGTCAATTTAACTGCACGGACAAGAAGAAAGCGGCGACAATAAATTATCGTCACCGCAAGGCAAAGTCTAATTTTCCCACATCATCAGCGGTTTATAAAGTGGATATTTCACAAACCCAACTTGGTATAGTACTTTTTATCTATAACAACTTCTTCTGAAAAATATTACCTAATGTGCAGATACTCGACTTTTTTTCTAAACGCTCTCGGATGATGTTACCGAAAGATTATTTTTTAAAACGCCTAAGAAGAGCGAATACGGCTGAGCAATGCTTTACAACTATTGCGGAAATCAGATGGAAATAATCAGATAATACAAAATGGAATGAAGCTAACATTAAGCATATACATAAATCTGACCTAGAAGTAATATTTTATTTCTGTTGGGCGAGAAAACAAGATTGTCAATAGATAGACAAATAACACTAAAACCGTTATGGGATGCAGTCATACGTTTGTGATGAAATTCACAAATACTTTTAAAACAGATCCATTTTGATGCACCATTATATGACAAAACTAAATACCTTTAATGGAAATTGGAACGCAGTAAAAATTAAAATTTTATTTTTTTAATAGGGCGTTCCACCTCGGATGAGGATATGAACACCGAAAAGCGTTTTCGCTTTTCGGATACCCTCATCCGAGGGGAAGCCCCAACGGGAAAACAGAAGGGAGAAGGCACAGCGCACAACGCAACAACAGGACAACGAGGGAAGAACGCAGAAGGTAGACGACGACGAGGGCTTAAACGGCGTCGTCGTGTCACGCACAAGCGGACACGGCGAGCAACAGCGGGAGCGGAAGCGACTTTTTTTCTCTTACTGGGTTTCTCTTGCTCCGAAGAGCTAAGAGAAACCGAAAAGAGTTTTCTTTTTCTCACCAAGAGAGCAGAAGATCGCGAGAAGAGACTAGATAAAGATGTAGTTATTTCAGTAATTAGTACAATTGTGACATCAGCCATGGGTAATCTGTTGAAATGACAGTTGCTTTCAATACGTACCGGAACGAAACAACGTTTTGAAACATTTTTTTAAAAAAATACTTTTGATGAAAAAAAAAAGCAACCAAAAACAATCTGGTCGGTTCGATCCTATTTTTTTAAAAAAAATACATGGGAACGGATGACGTGACTAAAATTGAAGAAATTTAAGTCACGGTAGATCATGTTTGGCTATGCCCGGTAGAAACATCGAATATACCGTTATAATTATGAATAACCTTTGGGAGGAATTAAAATTTTCGTAGCGAGGTCGAACTTTTTATGGTTTGAAAAGGGTATAAGCTGATTCCGCAATTAAAACCACTGTCATGTAGTTATCAACAAAAATATGTATTAAGAATAAAGCGGACGATTGCTACATAGACGAGCAATTGTCATCACATGTCAATTTGCTGTTTCATGGGAAAAGTGATTTTTTTAAAAACTCAATTTCGTTCATTGACATTGAGGATTAACAAAATAACCACAACCCAATGCGTGTGATGAGCTACATGTTTGTCAACTTATTAAGCCTTTGAACCTAGGTTTAAATAAAAGAAATATTAAAATACACCTACATCAACTACCTTCATACTCGCTCCTGTTCAAAAAATGGTTTTGATCGCTGTTACCGTCGGTTACTTACGCCCGTGAAACAATAATCGTCTTCATTTTGATTTAAACTGTAACAAATATATGTTCACCTATAATTCCGTTAAAAGGTTTCCAAATGTCATTGATCGTAACAATTTTATACGCACTGATGAGTATTTCTTTTGGCAGGAGATGAAGCGAAGTGGATTTTCAAAAATTTATCTAATGTCCCCTTAAAACTAAAAAGTGGATGAGATTATTACAATCAGGACAACAATTGTCTTGGACACTGCAAAATAACAACGTATGACAATTAGATTAACATAAACTGTCGAGTTAGCTTTAAAATTAGGTAATATACTGTTAATTAGTTGGTTTAGACAATTGTAATGGCCATAGAATTAAAATACACCGCGGAAGTATAGTGTCGGTACTGAAAGGTGGATTGTCAAAAACTAGATTGGAAGAAGATGACCTAATCGCAAGTAAAGTTCAACCACCGATGGGCATGCAAGATAAATAGGTGGCGCCTTTAGATTTTTTGTTTGGGAAGTCGGTTTAGTCATGCAAAACAAGTATACTCAGCATATTACCAGATTCTATTAGGAAAACTTGATAAAGGGTAATAAACAACGGATCCAGACGGAATGATTACTTGCGTAATCATACAGTATTTAAGTGAATGTTTCTACATTTTGAGGACAATGAGAATATGTCTAGGATGGGTAAGAATTGGAGATGATGTTGTGTATAATGCAATTGCGGGGCACTTGCGGTAAATTGCCAGATACCATACTGTATAAACTCTTGTGGAAAGAGGTCTATCCTTATAGGTTTTCCATTTCTTATACTACACATGGTAGTCGGTTTGGGAGGGAACAAGAAACCACACAATAGACCCCCCAATTGTTCTGTTTGATCTAAAGCGAGAATCTATTGGGAAACATAAGTCTTAAGAAATTGATGTAGATTAGTAGACCCATTCCTCTCTATACTAGTACCCAGTAAACTTCAAAAACTACCAATAGATTGCATATACCGATTGGCAACGGTAACCTAAAATTTACGATGTTCCTCAAAAAATGTAGTTTGACGATCAGATCACTTTCGAATGATATGGTTATTGGGTTCGATGAAGAAGAAATAAACTACCAAGAATTTAGACATAAAGGCGGAATTGCGAGAAATAATCACAGAAAATATTTACTCAGAGGCCGGAATAATTGGTATGTTGCAACTGAAATGTCAATTAATGCTGAGACATGTTACAAAAACATAGCTCATTACAACTCCGACTGGGGATAGTTGTATGTAGGTAAGAAACCTATTAAATAAATAACAATTCTCTGTCAATTGTGTTGTTAACGGACGAAATTTCTTTCTCTCATTTCAAAATAGAAGTCACCAGACGTAAGAGGAGGTACGACCAGATGCGGTAAGAAAGAGGCCGTAAGAAAAAATGCGGATACCAGCGCCAAAAAATTAATCGATTAAAATGTTTCCGCTGTACTAGCACTGTGGGAGCAATAATCAAATCAGCTAGCCAAAGACACTGTAGCCCAACTTGTTGAAATAAAGGATCTACATTACGAACACGGCATTTTGTTTTGTGAGGAACGAATTTCCGTATGGGATTTTTGGAAACCTTGATACTTTCAAAAAATGCACTGGAGATTCTAGGTCAGCAATCAATTTGATCTTATGTTAGGGGAACTTTAGGAAGCGTGGGCCTTACGTTTTATGGGAGTTGAGTACTGAGAACAACAGTTCGGCCTTTAAACGATAAATTAAGTTCGAAATGCACGTGGCATCCTTCGTTGTAGGTTTGTATGGATTTGTCAATTGTTAGGGTTTTGAGGATGCATTAAAGTATAACAAATACGTAAGATATGTTAGTTTATCAGGGAAATTTGGCGCATGGGATGAAGTCATGGGTATCTCGGGTGAATGCAAATACGCGGTTCGTTTATGCGCCGATTTTTTTGGACATTGAAAACTCCTGAGTTTTAGCGAGATTAGAGTTCTGCGTTAGAAGCAAGGGTATACTGGCTATGAAGTTCGTAGAACGCATTAAAATCACGATGTGACTCTATTAATACGTGTTAACGGTTATATTAAAAGAGTCTGGCACTTTTTCCATTACTTTTTTTGTTTAGTCTACTCTACAATTCAATATATTTAACATCGTACGTAAAATGCGAGATTAGCTATGACAGTTCTTCAATGCTTGACGATTGTAATAAATGGGATCTAATATAAAATTTAAAACTTTGCCTAAAAACTTCTTTATTTGGAAATATCGTTTATTCGTTGTTAATCCTCATTTTGTTTTGGTCATATGGCACGTTGATATATTTATTTGCACAAACCATTTTGACATAATATTCGTTTCTTCAATTTGCAGTCTCTGCTTTGCGATCTAGCTAAAAATAATTAAAAGCAAACATGTTTATATTTTATGAATACATTTTCACTATTTTTTTTTATGCATCAGAAAGTAGCATAACCAATTATTACCGTCGTTTCTATTTACAGCAAGTATCATTTGATGATCCACTTTGTAAACACCTACGATCGCAAATAAAAAACCTTTTAATTTACTTTATCATTTTTTTGCTCACAAACGTTAGTTTTGTAAGAAAAATGATTACGATTTTCGCAACCGATATATCTTCAAAGCCGCAAAATGGACAATTACTAGAATACAACAGCAATATGACATCATAATAGTTACAACTGTGGAAATCGGTGTAGATTTATAAAAATAAAAACAAGAAAATTATCAAACTTGCAAAAATTAACTAAGGCTTTATTAAACAAATAAAAGGGGGTCTTTATATACACTGTCATGAACTTACTCGCCCTGTTTATTGTCTACATAACTTAACCATGATCTCAAACCCCTTGTGAAACCTTGTTCTAGAAATCAATATCAGTATCTCTTGCCCGCTACCAAACTCCCTGTAAAACCTTGTACCAAAAATCATATCAGTATATCTTGTCCGCTACCAAACTCCCTGTAAAACCTTGTACCAAAAATCATATCAGTATATCTTGCCCGCCACCGAACTCCTTGTAAAACATATCATTAATCTGCCTCTCAATATTACTCCCGCTTCCTGTCTGACTCAACCTTAGTAAACCTTTTCCCGATCATCCTTTACTTTTATTCGTAATCCAGTTTTCCCGCCCGTATCAAACCATAAATATTCCCCGAACCATCATATTATTCAATGTCAACTAAATCCAGCCTGTTACTACTCGTCAAATCTCAATTACTCATCCTTGTCAATAATCTATTCATGTATCTGTTCCGTAAAGTCCCTTGTTAATCTATAATTTAAACCCATCGTAGTTTTTCCCATGTATAAGAAATAGTATAAATAGATGCTAGTTATTTATTAGAAAAACGTTATTCTGGATCTTAGTCCTAACCCCCTCCCCCTCTTAATAACAAACATATTTTATTTTAACCAATCGCCCCCCTCGTGTCGCCAAGTAGTTTCTGTGTCTTGTTCCTGTTCCGTCCGTGACATACACATTATTTCTGACATTGACCACAGATGGGCTGATGACGGTCGTGGGTAGATTCATCCAGATAATACTCGGATGTAATGATCCCATGTAGTTTGGGTTGGCTGTCAAGAAATTTAAAATGAGACTTTATTTTTTAGAATTCTCTCGATGACCCTTTCTTTTCTAAAGATGTTTTTCATTAACGTCTACTATTGAAAATCGTATCGGAAACTGATTAAAAGTGCTTTATTGGAGTAAGTAATTAGCAAACAAACAATCTCCACACAGAAATTTTCAATCGCTTCAAGAAAGCGAGAAATTCCAACGACGGTGGATATTTATCGTTGTTTTTATTCTAAATAGGATGAAAGAAGGAATCATTTTAAATGCCATATTAACATGCCATGTAACAGAAATAACAGTGACCAATTGGACACCACGTTATTAATCCTGATATCGGCTTTCATTATTAATGTTATAAAAAATATTATATCTTAAACATAGTATGAATTTTATGTCGCAATCCTGCAGATGTTATTGAATGATTTTACTGTCTTAATACAACGTTTTATCTTCTTGCTTAACTATAAACGTCAGCTAGGCAAAGGATCCGTGTATCTAAAAGTATTCTGAATAGGTATTAGACGAGTTTCTATTAAAACCATCTAAAACTTTTTTAAATTACACTTCAACTACATTCGTTTCAAATCTTGGATATAAAGGCAAAATATATTAAGTGTTTAATAACAACTGTAAGGCTCCTCAGGTTTTCCGGCATTTTCAATTTTAGCTATCCCACTGGTTATCCGGATTGTTGAGGATAACATAATAACACACCTAGAGTAGAACTATCGGAGATGATCCAATAAGGACATGATTCCATATAATCACACTGGTGGGAATTAGTTGTTCCACAATTTACCTCTATCAATAAAACAATGCTGTGTAACGTGTATCGAGCGAAGAGTCTCATAGGACCTGAGCCATAGGTATATGGAAATAAGTGCTATTGTTTGTATAATTGTTTATTTACTTCTTTATATTTATTTATTTCTTGACCTCGGTAAACTAAGTTTGGTAAATCATAAACCTGTTACGTGGCTTTGGTCTCTCCTTCTTCCTTCTGCCTTCTTTTCCCATATTTAGTAGAACCGTCAATTAAGTGATGACTGTCAAGGTTTTGCTTGTTATGGAATCACCGGTGCTGGACACTGTCAATACCCCCCTCTTGATACCTTTCAAATTGTATATAAATACCCCTTGATAGTTTTGTAGAATTATCTCTATCTTCTTTAAAATAAAAATTAGAGGCGACTTAGTCGTAACAGTACTTGCCCTTTTCTTTTTCTATTTCACAACACGGATATAGCCCAACTGCACCCAGCCAAACGTCGGATCATAAAATCTATTGCATAAATCTGAAATGTATGCATCCTATGAACGTATGTGCAACACCTGCTTTACCACCTCCTTTGCCTTTACAGTTTCTATTCGTTTTTCTCTAAATCGTATTAATGCTGTCAAGTGTTTCTGCAGAGAAGTGTAAAATATATAGAAATGTTGATCATACTTGGTATCAAAGTTGTTTTTTAGAGTTTATATTTGTAAAGTTTATCGGATTGACTTAGAAAGCCTTGTCGCGTACTGCAAGTGTCTTGTTAAAAATGTTAAATTACAGTTCGTATCGACGTCAATTTGAATATATCAGAAAATACAGCTAACCACCTCACGAGCCATAAGGTCGTACAAAACATAAGATCTTTAACGGTAATAATCGATTTCTTCTTAGAGCTTTGACCTATCTAACAAAAATTAATTAAGGTTTTAATGTTTTACTTGTTAAGATGTATGTGGTTGAATACTCACCCGAATCGTGAAAGCTTTACAAATTATTACTCGACTTTAACCTACCGTAGCATTATGACTCTATTGAATACTAAAAAACCAGATACTCCTAGTGATATTTGAAAGTCTTCAATGTCAGTTAGGCCTAGGTTTGTTCGCTACTGGTTTTATTTTGGAAGATGTATTTTCAAGAACAGACTCGTATTCTCGACCAGTCCAGAATACGCACTTTTCGGGGACACATTTTATATTTCGGACATTGTTATTGGCAGTAAATTTACAAACTCCATATATTATGAACATTTTAGACGTTTTAACATGAACCTGGTTCGAGATTAGATTCTGAACACTGCTGGGTTGTCTACTATCATTACATGAATAACAGCTTGAGATTCTCAAGCTGTTATTCATGTAATGATAGTAGACAACCCAGCAGTGTTCAGAATTAGTGTTCGAACTTTTCGAGCTTGCTCCGATCTTGCACCAGTTCGAACGAAGCTCGAACCGAGTTTTTGTACTTGAGAAATTCGAGAGTGATAATAGCGAATTAAGAATAAAATGTGAAATTTAACAAAGTAAAATTATCAAACTGCAAAAATAAACTAAACTTTATTAAACAAATAAAAGGGGGTCTTTATATACACATTATTTCAGACATTGATCACAGATGGGCTGATGACGGTTGTGGGTAGATTTATCCAGATAATACACGGATGTAATGATCCCATATAGAAAGACCATAATGAGATGTCAATAACAATAACAATAACATTCATTCTTAAACTGTGTATGTCTTGTAGCACAACATTCAGGGGAAAATGTAGTTCTTATTAATAATAGCTGTGGCACCGCAACGTGGCTGATGTAACCTTCATATGTTTTCATATTCATGTTTTTATTTAAATGTATGCCTTATACTTGTATGAAGGATGATATGAGATCAAGCCTGTACATAAAGTAAATGATCAGTATTTAATATAAAGTACCAATAAGAATTATATTTAGGATTATCAAATGGAAGATTTAAGAAGTGTAGATAGAGTCATATATTAAGTATATAGCCTCGATCACGACAGTACTCGAGCTTGCGCCACTTTTTTTGGGTTCGAGCGAGCTTCGACGGATGCTCGCTCGAAGCTCGCTCGGCTAAAATGTCGATAGTAGTCACTTTAAAGTTAAGGTCCTTCAAAGACTACAGATGGCATTTCCCCTTGATTTTAATCTTTTCTTCCCTTTACCATTTTTTTTTATTTATGCTCTAATAATTCCAATTAAAATGCTTTGGACTTTTATTTAATTGTACAACCAGCAAACACATTTACCATAGAAAATAAAACAGTGTTGCACACTATACCCAACTAAGCCAATTTTTTACAGCAACCATAGTAACATGACGTAGCTGAATTAATTTAAACTTTCATGTTCACAAATCCAAATGTATTATAATTATAGACGCAGTAATAGTTTGATTTAATTATCCGAATTTGGGGTTAAGGCTGGTGAAAAAAAAAATTTTCTTTTTCCAACTTCTATTTCATAATTTTCTGTAATTAACATCACTTTGACGTGCACTTTGTGTAATAAAAAGGGCGAGCGAGTTCGAGCTATTGTATTCGCAACCGAGCTGAGCTTAAGAAACTTCGAGCGAGCTCGAGCTGCAAAATAACGCATCCGAGCGAGCTTCGACTGGAACACGATCGAAGCTTGCTCGAGAGTTTCGATCTTCATTCCGAACACTACTTGAGATGCTAATGACCTGGGCATCCTTTAAATCATCATGTTTAAAAATTCACTCATTCAGAAGTTTGATCTAATTGCTTCATCGTTGTCAAAATTCGCCGTTATGTTCAGTTCTTTCTTTCTTTTTCAGTGAAATAGATGAGCAAAATGTAACTGCAATATTTACAATTGTTGACTTTAAGTTGGAGAATTCATTTTAAATTAGACAGGTCAGGTTTAATCTATTGTGGTAATTGAAAGTACCCTTAAAGTCATTTAAAAGATTCTGATTCATAACTTAATCTGAGATATCTACATTTCATTTTGGTCTCAAGTACTTCCGATGTGGCTTAAACTTGTGTCGGTCTTTCATACAAAAGACGACGTCATCAGTAGGCTTACTTTTTTATTTTTCGACTACAGGAGATAATCAGTGTTGTTTTTTATTTCTTTATTTTTTCATTCGAAACAAATATTAAATATGTTTTTTTTAAAAAAGTAAGTAAACGGCTTTATTGGCATTGGGACATCACGAAGATGTCAAATGAAATCATGTAATTAATGACTTCCACCATTCCTAATTATGATCTTATCTCTTTTTAGTTACAACTACGTGTTTTACCCCTCCTCTGCTTTGGCAGAATCTAGCTGGCGTCCTTTGGGTCTTTTCCCAAAAAGAAAGTTGTTTTCCGTTTCTTCGTGTTCTTCGGAAGAAGAAAAGAACACGAAACGAAGAAGAATTGGTTTCTGTCGCGTTTCCTTTCCTCGCCCTTCGTGGGTTGTACGCCGGGGTCGTTGGCGAGCTGCTCGGCGCCCAATCTGGGGTGGCCTTTGCCGACCTTCGCCCCGGGTGCTTTTTTTACCTGCCTGCCCTGCCCCTGTCAGGATTGTTTCTTCGCCTTCTTGGCAACTCTCTGCTTGTCCTCGCCGCTCGCGGCAATTGGCCGAAAAAAGAAGATGGCCTTCTGTGCTCTTCTGTCGTTCCGAGGAGGAACATATTAAGAAGAAGAGAAGAATTTGAGGCTGTCTTCCGGACGAAATAAAAAAATTTATTTGGCAAAAAAGTTTCGAGTTTTGAACTGTTATATATATTATTGTAAGCCTTAATGCGATGGGATGTTTGGCGATAGCTTCATTAAAAACTTTAAATTTCTAAGTAAATGATGATCATACAGAACTAAAATCGAAACCAATATGAAGCAAACAGTAGTAACTATGCTGTTTTGATCACATTAGCTCCAGTGGAAATAAATCCAAAAAGTCAATCAGAAACTCGATCACCTGGCTACGGATATTAATAACCTCTTTTAATGTAATTGAGGTATATGAAAGATGTCTGTTGGCGGTAAAAATTTTGATCCAAATTTTGTAAAACTCTTGTCCCGGTCACATTGACGATTAATATGGCGACGTGGCCCACACACATGTGCTTAACTCTTGGCTCTACATCGACCCTACGCAACTAAAACCTAAATTGCTTTTCTAAGATTTGACGGACCGTCAAAACCAAAAGCCAAAAACTACTTTTTCGGTCCGGTTTCAAAATTCTACTTGAAATAATTGTTCCCAATTAAGGGCTCAATTTTAGTGATCCAAAAACATTGTCTTGTTATTGCCAATATGCTACATCATTCTCGTTGCCGTGCCAATAAAAATGTTTCGCCAAATATCAAACGCTTCAAAGATGACGGGATCAAATTAATCCAGTTGTTGTGTTTTGAGGTAAGTAAAATTAAAAGGCAGTGTATAAGTAGTTTGAGACTGTTTGTAAGATTGTCTTTATTATGAAATAAAATAAACAAGTGTTTATATAAAAAAAACTATCTGCTGTACCACTATCTTTAGTGTATCTTTGAAGTTGTTATCATTTTCCCAGTGTGTATCCTGTTACCTTTAACTGCTTATTTTGTAAATATGTTACACTTGGAATTACTGTCATCTTAGACACATTGTACTTCCATATCTTTAGTAAGCTTTTGTCACTGTGTTCTTGTAACCTTGTGATATGATAGTAGCAACTATCTATATTGGGTAATTGATTCCTTAATCATTCTTAATGTATTGATGTCATAGATATAGGTTTATTTAATGTTGCAACAATATAGCAAATCACCACACCAGGCGAAGACGCTCGATGTACCTTGCATCATTTTCTGTGTCAAGTTGTTTTCTGGCATAAGCAGTAGTTTTCCGGAGTGATTCCGCATCAGTATTAAGATGTGTAGCTGATTATCGAGCAATCCCGTCAATACAAAGACCAACAGAAATATTACGTTTATTCAACCAACCAGCAATCAATTCCCAAATGTTATTTAGTCATAGCAGGCATAACCAGGATGTTGGAGGTGATACCAACAAGCATCCTTGCTATTAAAAAATGACATGCTAAAATTGTCAACGCCACTCTTACGTTCTGGATGCCTTGATTTCGTGTTTAATTTTGTACCACCACTTACGGCAAAATCAATTCTTTGACATAAAAATCGATATACCAATTCATTTGGAAGGACTCGAGTTCGTCATGACCAGTCAAAAACACAAAGCAGTAAACTATTTCTCAAATTCTACTCTTCGCTTGGGAAATAAGGGAGTATCAATTCAATCCAGAACATCCTTACATAATTTTGTGTAAAACTGGAGTCAGTCAACGTTGATTACCATCACTAAGCAATAGCGTAATTGTGGAAAGTCAGTTACATCATCCGCAGTTTCAGTCGGCAACTCTATCAAAAAACTGCCATCGTATACTTCAGATCTGTTACCAGAAATAACATCTCTTGATTGCCAATGCTTCACGTTGAGGACAAAATATTCATGGAGTAATAAAATATTTAAAGTGAAGATGATAGAATTGTAATAGAACGATCTCCGGGGTTCAAACTGCTTTCTGAATTAGACAAAAAAATTTCGAAGCTGACCGAGATGTTCAAGGGAAAAGCTCTAATGCCGAACAAGTCAATCCAGAAATTTTCTCATATATCTTACTGTCAACAGCGAATACGTTACGGTAGACTTACTCTAAAAGTCGTTTTCGACATTCCATGAAATTAACATTAAGAAACAAAATTATTTTTTTTGCGTCGTAACGGCCCAAGCACTATTCCAGTGCCATTGTGGCTTAGATATCAGATACAGTTTTATATGAGAAAAACACATCATTAGTTCCCCCGGCTTTAATTTTATCAAGCCATCAGTGTCTGCCAGGTCTTTTTTCCTTCTCTCTTTTTCTTTCGTCATAATTTTTTATAAAAAATGTTTCAACCTCATGCTTTTTTTCCGTACGTATTACATAATCTTGACATTAGGAATAATAACCCATTGCTAATGTTACCAACGGACTAATTACTAAAATAATTCAATTCTAATGCTTTATTTGGTTTTTTTTATAAACGTAGCGTCTTTTCTCCTTATGCCCTTCTCCCTTCGGGAAAACAAATATTCTTTTCGGTCCCGCATTGCTCTTGGGAGCAAGAGAAAACAATAAAACGAAGAAGACGTTCTCCTGTCACTGGTGTCGTTGTTCGTGTCAGGTTGTATGTGGCACGGCCACACCGATCTCGTACTCGTCGACGTCGCTCTTGGCGTGTGACATATTGTTCTTCTCTTCCGCTCTAGTGAGTCTCGGTCTCTCCTTTGTTCTTTCCTGTTAGGGCGTCCTCTCGGATGACGGTATCCCAAAAGCGAAAACGCTT